CTCACAGGATGAGTGGCGCTGCCCAATACTGTCACTATGGCGGTGTGTCCACTCACAGGATGAGTGGCGCTGCCCAATACTGTCACTATGGCGGTGTGTCCACTCACAAGATGAGTGGCGCTGCCCAATACTGTCACTATGGCGGTGTGTCCACTCACAGGATGAGTGACGCTGCCCAATACTGTCACTATGGTGGTGTGTCCACTCACAGGATGAGTGGCGCTGCCCAATACTGTCACTATGGCGGTGTGTCCACTCACAAGATGAGTGGCGCTGCCCAATAAACTCGCCCCTCGGGGCAAAATTTAAAATTTAAATTTTCAGACAGGTAAGCCCCGCTTTGTCTGGGGTGCAAGTAATTACCTAAGTGTAGTTACAGGATGAGAGCTACGCTCGTGGTGTCCCGTCTTCCCAGCACTCTTTGTCATATAACGCTTTGAAACTACTGACGGTCTTGGCCTCCACCACCTTCTCCCCTAACTTGTTCCAACCGTCTACCACTCTGTTTGCGATAGTGAATTTTCTTATATTTCTTCGGCATCTGTGTTTAGCTAGTTTAAATCTATGACCTCTTGTCTTAAAGTTCCAGGTCTCAGGAAATCTTCCCTATCGAAGTGACAGGATGAACATCCCAGCGGGTGTTCTTGTTGTTAAAGGGACAGGCATCTCTGGGGGTATGTTCACTCACAGGATGAATGTGAGTGAATGAGAGACAAGTCTGGTAAACTTGTCCCTCGAGGCAAAAGAAAACTTGTGATAGTCTAGTATACCTTTGAACTGATATGCTATAAATCACCAGGAAATCGTTATCAGCATGTTCAAGCTTGAAGATTAGGGTGGTAATTACACCCAAGACACTGGTAATTACACCCAAGACACTGGTAATTACATCCAAGACTGGTAATTACACTCATGACACTGGTAATTACACCCAAGACACAGGTAATTACACCCAAGACACTGGTAATTACATCCAAGACTGGTAATTACACTCAAGACACTGGTAATTACACCCAAGACACAGGTAATTACACCCAAGACACTGGTAATTACACTCAAGACACTGGCAATTACATCCAAGACTGGTAATTACACTCAAGATACTGGTAATTACACCCAAGACACAGGTAATTACACCCAAGACACTGATAACTACACCCAAGACACTGATAACTACACCCAAGGCACTGATAACTACACCCAAGGCACTGATAACTACACCCAAGACACTGATAACTACACCCAAGACACTGATAACTACACCCAAGGCACTGATAACTACACCCAAGGCACTGATAACTACACCCAAGGCACTGATAACTACACTCAAGGCACACGATTGTTAACTACAAGATGGAATCCGACTTACTCACCTTGAATTTTTTTTCTGATAGAGAGGATAACGATCAACTAGTATTTTAACGGAGACAGATTGAGTAGGCTTCGAAGGCTTCAGGGAAGCACTCTGTAGGATGAATTAGGACTAAATCAACGAGAGGCTTCTTGAAGGACTGTATCAACTTCGGAAGGGTTATTAATGGAGGCTACTACCATAAGAGCTTACCATCCAGGAACTAGACCTTAGTCCTGAGCATAAGTCAATCTCCTTGTGGGGGAGTTTGACGAAGTGTAGACAATGGTCAGTTCGCAGGAGTAGTTCGCAGTTCGCAGGCACCGATTCCCACGAGCAGTAACATGTTACTTAAAGACATTCAAGATTGACAGCTAACAAGACTAATAGGAATGCACTTGGAAGGGTTAGGAGGAGGAGAAGAGTGAGAAAACGGTACCTATAATCACTCTGACCATTTGGTATCGAACTCTGACCCGATAAGCAAACAGACCGCCGCTCTTCCGATCTATCCAAGTGGATTATTTCTCCTTGTCGAAGACTACAAGCATATTCATGCAATGGGTAACTGTAATGTCACCCTTTGTACCATTAATGCAAGGGTCTGTAATGTCACCCTTTGTACCATTACAGCGCAGCGGTTCGGGAGAAAGTTGCATCTTGAAACCAAGAGTGATAGCAGTAACGGAGATTTAAGAAGCCCAACGGAGCTATTCTGACGTAGCTGTATCTCTCACCACAAAGATGCAGCATCACTCAGGATAAGCACATCAGAGGCGTGGACAAGGACTACCTTTTACCTGCGGTGACGCTGCTCGTAGCCCGTGACTCTTAACTCTTACCATCTTAGGAAATTAGGTACAAAAACAGTTTACCGCTCCCGTGCTAGTTCAATGTCTATAGGAAGATAGAAGACAAAGACACACACAAAAACATACGATATACAGATTCAGATTGGAAAATAAGAAAAACAGATTCAGGAACACAAAGGTATCTCAACTACAACAAAGGTGAATAACACAAAGACGTCCTTCATTTTCGACTTCAGATAGCACAGCTCTGAATGAATCATTCACTGCTATGAATGTTAGCACAATCCCTGAATGTCACAACAGTTCTGAATAGTAACGCAACCCTGAATGTTAAAAAAAACACCCAGAACGCAACACATTTCTGAATGTAAGCACATCCCCTGACTGTCAGCACAGCCCTAAATGTCAGCACAGCCCTGACAGTAGAGCCTTTACCTTGGTGTTGCCTGGTGACAGACAGCAGTACACTGGTGCAGGTGAGAAAGGTTACATATATATATATGGTGAAGGTGTGTGTGTGTGTGATGTCTCTCTGTCAACACGCCACCAGCTGCACTCTCTGATCCAAGTGTGTCGTGGTTGTGTCCCTTTGTACGCATGCGCGGCTGTGCCTGCTTCTGTGTACTCACCTATTTGTGCTTGCGGGGGGTTGAGCTCTGGCTCTTTGGTCCCGCCTCGCAACCGTCAATCAACTGGTGTACAGGTTCCTGAGCCTACTGGGCTCTATCATATCTACATTTAAAACTGTGTATGGAGTCAGCCTCCACCACATCACTGCCTAATGCATTCCAGTTGTCAACCACTCTGACACTAAAAAAGTTCTTTCTAATATCTCTGTATGTGTGTGTGTGTGTGTGTGTGTGTGTGTGTGTGTGTGTGTGTGTGTGTGTGTGTGTGTGTGTGTGTGTGTATTCATTTAGTTGTACTTGCGGGGGTTGAGCTTTGTCTCTTTGGTTCCGCCTCTCAACTGTCAATCAACTGGTGTACAGATTCCTTGGTAATTTAGGTAATTTAGCCTTTTCCTTTCCGATCCCATCCTTGGATAGTTTATCCTTATGTAGGGATATCCTAGGGAATATGTTATCCCCTTTGTGTGTGTGTGTTCGTGTTCTCATGCCACTATGCCTGGCTCTTTCAGTGTGTAATGTATATTCATACTACTGTCCCCTTTAGTTGAGCTTCAGCTCCTAGTCCCCTCCTCCGTTTTCAGTTTGTGTAGTTTGATGCCTAGTTTCATTTCGCATTTGTACCTCATTCAACATAATTAGTTCTTTCTTAAACCAAAATAGTTCGGCTGAGTCATTTCCACCTCTAGCCACACGTTCTTATTTGTGCTTAATCAGAACTACTATTTATTGTTTCACTTAGCAATTTCACTTGGAATCTTTTATGTCTCGATCATGTCTCGTGGCTTCCATCTTTCCTATTTGGCGAGAGCGAGTTCAGCCTTTTACTTCTCAGCTCTGAGGTAATGTATAAATAATTACATCTACCATTTCGTTCTGTGCTTTAATGAGGGTTGATGTGAGGGCTGCATATACTAGCACCGGTCTCATGTAGGTTGTGTATAGTACTCTGGAGGCCACATAAGATTCTGAAATCCACGAATATTTCCCACCTTCACATAAACTTTTAATGTTATTCTGCTTATATTGGGTTCTGGTGATAAGTTTGTCTACATCTGCTCCTAAATCGTAATATTTTCAAACTCCTCCTTTGAAAATACCAATTAATTACACCCAAGTACTGTACCTATTATTCCTATTCTCATTTCTTTACATTTGTTTGGGTTAAAGTCTATTAACCATTCCTATGGTCAGCTTTGAAGCCTGGTCAGGTCTTCCTTTAGCATACTGTTGACCATCTGTCCTTGGCTTCATTATTAACTTAGCTTTATATTAAAAAATAAACATGTAGGCACAGACTGCTAATGATTTAGGTAAGAGGACAGGACCCAGCACATGTCCTTGTGGTATCCCTTCTCTTCAGTCTGATTTTTCGCTCGTGCATTGTGAAGACCTGATACGTTTTTCTCACTCTTTCTCAGCATTTACATTCCCTTTCAAACCTAACCCTTAAACTGCTAAGATGTTTAAAATTCCTAGTTTGTGGTGCGCATGAAAAAAAGTATTGAAAACCTATATGGATCAATCGCATACGGTGATTTAGTACAGGATGAAATTGCAGATGTTAGGGTTAAGACTTATGTGAGGGAGCCGGTCGGCCGAGCGGACAGCACGCTGGACTTGTGATCCTGTGGTCCTGGGTTCGATCTCAGGCGCCGGCGAGAAACAATGGGCAGAGTTTCTTTCACCCTATGCCCCCTGTTACCTAGCAGTAAAATAGGTACCTGAGTGTTAGCTGTCACGGGCTGCTTCCTGGGGGGTGGAGACCTGGTCGAGGACCGGGCCGCGGGGACACTAAAGCCCCGAAATCATCTCAAGATAACCTCAAGATTGGTTGAAAAGGGTCACTTCAGTTCAAAATCTTTTCCTCTTTGATGTATTGTTGCATTACAAGTCTATTGTTCGTGGAGTGAGATTCCTCGACTCTTAGTCTGTTTTTACATGTTTGAAATCACCTATGATTAGTAGTTTAGCCTTGAATTGGATAATTCCATCATTCGTTCTTTTGCTATCTGCACATCTTTGTATTAGGAAGGATAACTAGTTTTCACTCCAATTAACTATTCGTTAATACATAAAAAAAATGAACTCGTTCGATGTAACAGTGCTGAAATCAATGTGTTTTTTTTTATTAGAAAAAAATTCTAACCTATAACCATGGAAATGGGAAATGGGAGTAAAGAAATGTTTAAAGGTGAAATAAATTCTTCGACAATTTTGATGTTTAATATATACAAGAAAGAGTAACATGTGTTGAAGAGGAGTAATTCGCTACCGGGTATTTGACCCTCTGGCTGGCCGGGTCTTCAGTAGCCGTAGGAGGCTTGGGGCAGACTTGGTCTTGTAGGTCTGCTGGATCCTTGGCGACGTGGTGAGACCAGTTGGGTCTGTTAGCAGACCGGGTCTTCAGTAGCCGTAGCCGTAGGAGGGCTTGGGGCAGACCGTCTTGTAGGTCTGCTCGGTCTTGGTGACCGTGTGGTACTCCGGGACCACTTGGGTCTGGTACTGGGTCTTGTACTGCACCTCGGTCTTGGTGACGTACTGAGGGACGTATTCGGTCTTGTACACGGTCTGGTACTGGGTCTGTGTAACGTACTGGGTTTGGTATTGGGTCTGAGTGATGTACTGGGGGACATACTCGGTCTTGGTGACGTATTGGGTCTGGTACTGGGTCTGGTATTTGGTTACGTACTGGGTCTGGTACTGGACTTGGGTCTTGTAGACGGTCTCGGTGACGTACTGGGGAACGTACTGGGTCTCGTACTTGGTCACGTACTGGGTCTGGTACTGGGTCTGGTAGAGGGTGGTGGGGACGACCTGGGTCTTGTACACAGTCGTATACACAGGAACCTGCAGGGAGACCAAACAAATTATTCACAATGTCCTACAACCAATAGACATGTTAAAACAAACAAAACAAAATACATATTACAAATAAATGTTAATATTATTAACATTAGTGGTTTATCATTTTCAAGAATAAATACCGTCTTGCTATGTCTTGGGAATCTAATATCATCATCAAAGATGACTGAAACCAAAGTTTTTTTCGCTAGTTTTTGCCTAATAACTCAAGAGTCTTGCTGGACAGGTTCCAGTGTTGAACTTGGCCTGAATTAGTGGCAAGATGTTAAACTTTCCGCGATGATTTTCATCTGAATATCACTTTGTAATGACTTGCTAGACATCGCCCAGGTGGTGATGACTTGCCAGTCATGTAATGAATCTTTGCTTCCTTAATGGACACACACAATACCCTTGAGATTACCTTTCCAGAACTGTTCCAGCACTGACCTCCAGGAACTGGAAAAGTAGGTATCTGTATGGCCTGGTCTCTTTCTATTTCCTAGTCAGTGCCTATCAGAGGGGATCTAATACAGTTCTCTTGACCTGATAGATGTGTGAAGAAATACCTGATTGGTTGGTTCTAGTGTATGCCAATTCAACATTTGCGACTGGACTAGTACTAGTATAGATATGCTGAATCTGACCCGGTACTGATTCGCTCCAGGATCTCCTAAAGCTGAATCATTCCAGCAGCTGAATCATTCCAGCAGCTGAATCATTCCAGCAGCTGAATCATTCCAGCAGCTGAATCATTCCAGCAGCTGAATCATTCCAGCAGCTGAATCATTCCAGCAGCTGAATCATTCCAGCAGCTGAATCATTCCAGCAGCTGAATCATTCCAGCAGCTGAATCAATTCTGACAATGATTTGCTGGATCTACCCCCTAATAGTGACCATTTTTATTTGTTGCAATACTGACCTACTGGACCTGCCCCAGTACTGACCTGCTGGACCTGCCCCAGTACTGACCTGCTGGACCTGCCCCAGTACTGACCTGCTGGACCTGCCCCAGTACTGACCTGCTGCACCTGCCCCAGTACTGACCTGCTGGACCTGCCCCAGTACTGACCTGCTGCACCTGCCCCAGTACTGACCTACTGGACCTGCCCCAGTACTGACCTGCTGGACCTGCCCCAGTACTGACCTGCTGGACCTGCCCCAGTACTGACCTGCTGAACCTGCCCCAGTACTGACCTGCTGGACCTGCCCCAGTACTGACCTGCTGGACCTGCCCCAGTACTGACCTGCTGAACCTGCCCCAGTACTGACCTGCTGGACCTGCCCCAGTACTGACCTGCTGGACCTGCCCCAGTACTGACCTGCTGAACCTGCCCCAGTACTGACCTGCTGGACCTGCCCCAGTACTGACCTGCTGGACCTGCCCCAGTACTGACCTGCTGGACCTGCCCCAGTACTGACCTGCTGGACCTGCCCCAGTACTGACCTACTGGACCTGCCCCAGTACTGACCTGCTGCACCTGCCCCAGTACTGACCTGCTGGACCTGCCCCAGTACTGACCTGCTGGACCTGCCCCAGTACTGACCTGCTGGACCTGCCCCAGTACTGACCTGCTGGACCTGCCCCAGTACTGACCTACTGGACCTGCCCCAGTACTGACCTGCTGCACCTGCCCCAGTACTGACCTGCTGGACCTGCCCCAGTACTGACCTGCTGGACCTGCCCCAGTACTGACCTGCTGGACCTGCCCCAGTACTGACCTGCTGAACCTGCCCCAGTACTGACCTGCTGGACCTGCCCCAGTACTGACCTGCTAGACCTGCCCCAGTACTGACCTGCTGGACCTGCCCCAGTACTGACCTGCTGCACCTGCCCCAGTACTGACCTGCTGGACCTGCCCCAGTACTGACCTGCTGGACCTGCCCCAGTACTGACCTGCTGGACCTGCCCCAGTACTGACCTGCTGGACCTGCCCCAGTACTGACCTGCTGCACCTGCCCCAGTACTGACCTACTGGACCTGCCCCAGTACTGACCTGCTAGACCTGCCCCAGTACTGACCTGCTGCACCTGCCCCAGTACTGACCTGCTGGACCTGCCCCAGTACTGACCTGCTAGACCTGCCCCAGTACTGACCTACTGGACCTGCCCCAGTACTGACCTGCTGGACCTGCCCCAGTACTGACCTGCTGCACCTGCCCCAGTACTGACCTGCTGGACCTGCCCCAGTACTGACCTACTGGATCTGCCCCAGTACTGACCTACTGGACCTGCCCCAGTACTGACCTGCTAGACCTGCCCCAGTACTGACCTGCTGGACCTGCCCCAGTACTGACCTGCTGGACCTGCCCCAGTACTGACCTGCTGGACCTGCCCCAGTACTGACCTGCTGCACCTGCCCCAGTACTGACCTGCTGGACCTGCCCCAGTACTGACCTGCTGAACCTGCACCAGTACTGACCTGCTGGACCTGCCCCGGTACTGACCTGTTGGACCTGCGTCTGGTACTGGGTGACGTACTGGGTCTTGGGGTAGCAGGGGGCGGGTTGGGGGTAGCTGGGGTCAGCCCCCACCGCTGCCACCACACCCAACACCACCACAAACAAACTCCAACACATCATCTCGGATCTGAAACATTAGTTTCAGATATATTATTTAATAACGGTATTGGTAATAAACAGAAAAAGTATATTTTGACCAAACCAAATAATATAGAGAAAATATCTTAATTTATCCTGGTTAAAAAATGTGAATGTAATTTCACTGTTATTGATAGAATATATTGCATGGATTATGGGATGTTTATCGTAAGTTCTCTAATGGTTTACTTTAGGTGAAAGGGAAGTATTTACCTGAGTTGTTGCCTCTGTGAAGACGAGAAGGGGACTGAAGAGGTGGATCAGGACGGTGGTATTTATAGTGCGGGTCTTGTCTGGGTTGCCAGCTATGATGGGCGACCTTCAAACTTCAAGTTCTGTTGAAGGTCTTCTGGAGATAGTGCGTCCGTGATGCTGTAGAACATCTGATGTTAAGATGCTGTGCTCTCTCACTCTCTCTCTCTCCTGAGAGAGAAGCTATTCTCATCTATCCCCTCATATTGTCTAGGGTAGCAGTGCAAATGTAGATATAAAAAAAACACATAATATAGTGATATTATAGACTTATTATAACATGATATTAGACTTTACAGTTAGCTGCTCGACCTGTATGTCTTCAGACTTGATGTTCTCTTCCTCATCAACACCACTGAGGCCAGACACGAACACTTATTAGTCTTTGCCAGACTTAGGAGATTGTGTACATGTCAATTCTCTTAACCAATCTGCCTCATCACTTCTATGCAAAAGAGGAGTTATCCTCTGTCCTCTTGGATCAGTTCTAGAGATAATGAAAGGTAATTATGAGGAGAAAGAGGCTGGGCTTGTATGGCCAGCGCTTATTAGAGATATGAAGACCTGGGACCAGATTCACGAAGCAGTTACGCAAGCACTTACGAACCTGGGGCCAGATTCACGAAGCCGTTACGCAAGCACTTACGAACCTGTACATCTTTTCTCAATCTTTGGCGTCTTTGTTTACAATTATTAAACAGTTAATGAGCTCCGAAGCACCAGGAGGCCGTTTATAACAATAACAACAGTTGATTGGCAAGTTTTCATGCTTGTAAACTGTTTAATAAATGTAACCAAAGCCGTCAAAGATTGTGGAAAGATGTACATGTTCGTAAGTGCTTGTGTAACTGCTTCGTGAATCTGGCTGAAGGATACGGCATGTGAGGAGAATTGGGGATGAGGAACGATACCACTTAAGCCATCGGGGATCGAACTCCAACCCTGCAAGGAGTGAGACCACCGCTGTCGCCATCCAGTTCAAGTGATTGGACACAAAAACTTGGACTCGTAATCAAAAGTCTTTCTAAAACATGAAATACAAAAGAAACACAAGTGTTACCAAACATCCCAAATCCAGATTCCTCCCAACACAAATAAGGTGTTGCGGGTCTACGATTTTGTTTGTCCAAGTTTGCAAAATGCAACACCCACAAATAGGGGGCAGGGGAAACCCTTGGCAATCCGCAGGCTTCCTGTCCTCGTTAGGTTGATAAAGAGATAGTGGCTCTCAGATAAACTCACGACGGCATTCAGTTTACACCCCCCCCCTCCCCTGCCTCCCGCGACTGAAGTGGGGTTCAACACTCCGAAACCTGTAGATCTTTCCTTAATAATAGCAGCTTTGTCTTTTAATAAACAGTTAACTAGTGTCGAAACTTCACGTTCCTGTAGTTGTTTATTGTTTGAAATAACCTCGTATAGCGTTTCGGAGCTCTTTTAGCTGTTTAGTAAATGATTTAAGCCGTAGTGACTGAGGAAAGATGTATAGGTTTCGTATGTGGATGAGTGTATCTAGGCTTCGTGAATCCGTGTTCTGTTTACTGAATGGGTGACAATTCTTTCTTAATACATGTGGGTGTGATTCTTTGAGTCGGCTTGTAAACTGATTCTCTTGAGCAGCAAGCTTGTTCTGGTGCAGCTTATCTTCTCCAGCTTCTTGAAGGTGTAGCTCCTCCACCTGCTTCTTGAAGGTGTAGCTCCTCCACCAGCTTCTTGAAGGTGTAGCTCCTCCACCAGCTTCTTGAAGGTGTAGCTCCTCCACCAGCTTCTTGAAGGTGTAGCTCCTCCACCTGCTTCTTGAAGGTGTAGCTCCTCCACCTGCTTCTTGAAGGTGTAGCTCCTCCACCTGCTTCTTGAAGGTGTAGCTCCTCCACCTGCTTCTTGAAGGTGTAGCTCCTCCACCAGCTTCTTGAAGGTGTAGCTCCTCCACCAGCTTCTTGAAGCCACTTGCAGCTCCTCCACCTGCTTCTTGAAGGTGTAGATCCTCCACCTGCTTCTTGAAGGTGTAGCTCCTCCACCTGCTTCTTGAAGGTGTAGCTCCTCCACCTGCTTCTTGAAGGTGTAGCTCCTCCACCAGCTTCTTGAAGGTGTAGCTCCTCCACCAGCTTCTTGAAGCCACTTGCAGCTCCTCCACCTGCTTCTTGAAGGTGTAGGTCCTCCACCTGCTTCTTGAAGGTGTAGCTCCTCCACCTGCTTCTTGAAGGTGTAGCTTCTTCACCTGCTTCTTGAAGGTGTAGCTCCTCCACCAGCTTCTTGAAGGTGCAGCTCCTCTACCTGCTTCTTGAAGGTGTAGCTCCTCCATCTGCTTCTTGAAGGTGTAGCTCCTCCACCTGCTTCTTGAAGGTGCAGCTCCTCCACCTGCTTCTTGAAGGTGTAGCTTCTTCACCTGCTTCTTGAAGGTGTAGCTCCTCCACCTGCTTCTTGAAGGTGTAGCTCCTGCACCTGCTTCTTGAAGGTGTAGTCCCTCCACCTGCTTCTTGAAGGTGTAGCTCCTCCACCTGCTTCTTGAAGGTGTAGTCCCTCCACCTGCTTCTTGAAGGTGTAGCTCCTCCACCAGCTTCTTGAAGGTGTAACTCCTCCACCTGCTTCTTGAAGGTGTAGTCCCTCCACCTGCTTCTTGAAGGTGTAGCTCCTCCACCAGCTTCTTGAAGGTGTAGCTCCTCCACCAGCTTCTTGAAGGTGTAGCTCCTCCACCTGCTTCTTGAAGGTGTAGCTCCTCCATCTGCTTCTTGAAGGTGTAGCTCCTCCACCTGCTTCTTGAAGGTGTAGCTCCTCCACCTGCTTCTTGAAGCCACTTGTAGCTCCTCCACCTGCTTCTTGAAGGTGTAGCTCCTCCACCTGCTTCTTGAAGCCACTTGTAGCTCCTCCACCTGCTTCTTGAAGGTGTAGCTCCTCCACCTGCTTCTTGAAGCCACTTGTAGCTCCTCCACCAGCTTCTTGAAGGTGTAGCTCCTCCACCTGCTTCTTGAAGCCACTTGTAGCTCCTCCACCTGCTTCTTGAAGGTGTAGCTCCTCCACCTGCTTCTTGAAGCCACTTGTAGCTCCTCCACCTGCTTCTTGAAGGTGTAGCTCCTCCACCTGCTTCTTGAAGCCACTTGTAGCTCCTCCACCAGCTTCTTGAAGGTGTAGCTCCTCCACCTGCTTCTTGAAGCCACTTGTAGCTCCTCCACCTGCTTCTTGAAGGTGTAGCTCCTCCACCTGCTTCTTGAAGGTGTAGCTCCTCCACCTGCTTCTTGAAGGTGTAGCTCCTCCACCTGCTTCTTGAAGGTGTAGCTCCTCCACCAGCTTCTTGAAGGTGTAGCTCCTCCACCTGCTTCTTGAAGGTGTAGCTCCTCCACCTGCTTCTTGAAGCCACTTGTAGCTCCTCCACCTGCTTCTTGAAGGTGTAGCTCCTCCACCTGCTTCTTGAAGGTGTAGCTCCTCCACCTGCTTCTTGAAGCCACTTGTAGCTCCTCCACCAGCTTCTTGAAGGTGTAGCTCCTCCACCTGCTTCTTGAAGGTGTAGCTCCTCCACCTGCTTCTTGAAGGTGTAGCTCCTCCACCTGCTTCTTGAAGGTGTAGCTCCTCCACCTGCTTCTTGAAGGTGTAGCTCCTCCACCTGCTTCTTGAAGGTGTAGCTCCTCCACCTGCTTCTTGAAGGTGTAGCTCCTCCACCTGCTTCTTGAAGGTGTAGCTCCTCCACCAGCTTCTTGAAGGTGTAGCTCCTCCACCTGCTTCTTGAAGGTGTAGCTCCTCCACCAGCTTCTTGAAGGTGTAGCTCCTCCACCTGCTTCTTGAAGGTGTAGCTCCTCCACCTGCTTCTTGAAGCCACTTGTAGCTCCTCCACCTGCTTCTTGAAGGTGTAGCTCCTCCACCTGCTTCTTGAAGGTGTAGCTTCTTCACCCGCTTCTTGAAGGTGTAGCTCCTCCACCAGCTTCTTGAAGGTGTAGCTCCTCCACCTGCTTCTTGAAGGTGTAGCTCCTCCACCAGCTTCTTGAAGGTGTAGCTCCTCCACCTGCTTCTTGAAGGTGTAGCTCCTCCACCTGCTTCTTGAAGGTGTAGCTCCTCCACCTGCTTCTTGAAGGTGTAGCTCCTCCACCTGCTTCTTGAAGGTGTAGCTCCTCCACCTGCTTCTTGAAGGTGTAGCTCCTCCACCTGCTTCTTGAAGCCACTTGTAGCTCCTCCACCTGCTTCTTGAAGGTGTAGCTCCTCCACCTGCTTCTTGAAGGTGTAGCTCCTCCACCAGCTTCTTGAAGGTGTAGCTCCTCCACCTGCTTCTTGAAGGTGTAGCTCCTCCACCAGCTTCTTGAAGGTGTAGCTCCTCCACCTGCTTCTTGAAGGTGTAGCTCCTCCACCTGCTTCTTGAAGGTGTAGCTCCTCCACCTGCTTCTTGAAGGTGTAGCTCCTCCACCAGCTTCTTGAAGGTGTAGCTCCTCCACCTGCTTCTTGAAGGTGTAGCTCCTCCACCTGCTACTTGAAGGTGTAGCTCCTCCACCTGCTTCTTGAAGGTGTAGCTCCTCCACCTGCTTCTTGAAGGTGTAGCTCCTCCACCAGCTTCTTGAAGGTGTAGCTCCTCCACCAGCTTCTTGAAGGTGTAGCTCCTCCACCTGCTTCTTGAAGCCACTTGTAGCTCCTCCACCTGCTTCTTGAAGGTGTAGCTCCTCCACCTGCTTCTTGAAGGTGTAGCTCCTCCACCTGCTTCTTGAAGGTGTAGCTCCTCCATCTGCTTCTTGAAGGTGTAGCTCCTCCACCTGCTTCTTGAAGGTGTAGCTCCTCCACCAGCTTCTTGAAGGTGCAGCTCCTCCACCAGCTTCTTGAAGGTGTAGCTCCTCCACCAGCTTCTTGAAGGTGCAGCTCCTCCACCAGCTTCTTGAAGGTGTAGCTCCTCCATCTGCTTCTTGAAGCCACGATAGCACCTGCCAGCATCTTATTACTGATGACTTAACCCTCAACACCATCATCATTACCATCTACTTGCGTCTCCCCTCCATCATCATCTACTCCTTCCCTCCCCTCATCAGTTACCCTCCTCCTCCTCCTCCTCCTCCTCCTCCTCCTCCTCCTCCTCCTCCTCCTCTCCCTCTGCCACTCCGTCAAAAAAGCAGCGGTTTTGTGTGTAAACAGAAACGTACAAACCCAAGCAACCCACCTAACCTGGTCGATACAGGATACGTCAATATTGCGGAGCTGTAATTTTGTACTAATGCGTTGGATTTTTAACGTATTAGTTAATTTCGTAAAGAAAACGCGACTTTGGAAGAGGAAGAAGCCGAGATTCCTAAGTCATTGAACACATCGGTGTCAGGTGTTTGTAGAGCGAGAAAGTTGCCACACACCAATAGTCACGTGTGTGTGTGTGTGTGTGTGTTTGTGGATTAAATGACTAATACAGTCATGTGTGTGTGGATTAATGACTAATACAGTCACGTGTGTGTGGATTAATGACTAATACAGTCGTGTGTGTGGATTAATGACTTATACAGTCATGTGTGTGTGTGGATTAATGACTAATACAGTCATGTGTGTGGATTAAATGACTAATACAGTCACGTGTGTGTGGATTAAATGACTAATACAGTCGTGTGTGTGGATTAATTGGCTGTCATGTGCGTGGATAGACTCAGTCAAGTGGATTAATTAGCTGGCATGTGTGTGGATTGACTCCGTCAAGTGGATTAATTGACTCAATCATGCGTGTGGATTAATTGGTTTAGTCATGTGTGGTTTAATTGGTTAATACAGCCATATGTGTGTGTGTGTGTTGGCTCAATAATTACGTGTGAGAATTAACTAGCTCAATCCAGTCATGTGTGTGGATTAATTGTTTGAGTCATGTGTACTTGTACTCATTAACGTCAGTGGTTCGTAGGTAATTTCCAGAGTGAATTAGTACTAACAGGGCGATACGTACATTTACAGATTTGTGTCCACAGGATCTAGGTTTTAGCTCTTGGACCCCGCCTTTTCAACCGTGGGATGTGTCAGGACTCCCGGCCTATTTTCGCCTATATCTACTGGTTGGTAGATTGATCTATCTACCTTTCGCCAGGTGCTCATATCCTCATGATTCAATCAACATCAAATGTTCAACTCTTGCATCAGGTGCCTGTATACCGCTAGGTGAGCAGAGGCAGCAGGTGAATGAAACCACTGCCCAAACGCGTCTGTTCTGCTGTGCGTGGGTATGAATGCGACTGAAAGGGTTAATATATTATCTTTCAGTCATATTCAATTACGAGAGAGGGAGAGATTGAGAGAGGAGAGAGAGGAGAGTGAGAAAAGAGAGAGAGGAGAAGAGAGAGAAAAGAGAAAAGAGAGATAAGAGAGAAGAGAAAGAGAAGAGAGATAAGAGAAAAGAGAAGAGAGAGAAAAGAGAGATAAGAGAGAGAGAAGAGAGAAAAGAGAGAGGAGAGAGAGAAGAGAGAAAAGAGGAGAGAGATAGATCTTTCTATCTTTCCTTAAAAGCCTTTCCTTTAAAACATACACTACCCGGGTTCTCTCCTCGCTATAATCTGTCACGTTAAGAACATGTCCCCTCAGTACACAAATACACCTGTAATCAGGTCAGGCGACTACATAAAGGCTCTGCTACACAACTGGCTCCAGCTTAATCCAGCGACATGATTGCAACTTGGCGTTATAGAAAGTTTATTCCTCGTGGAAACCAAATCATTTCATCAAATTAGTCTCCAAGAGCGAGTCTTCAGATGAGATTGTAATTGTTACAGACTCAGCTATTTGGAACTCAAAGCTCCAAGTAGCACGGGCTATGGTGAGCCCGTCAGATGAGATGATGTAGGTCTGAGCTTAACCGTTCATTAGCAGCTCGTTATTTCATACGCTATGGTCCCAAACGTACAAAATAAAGGGTACAATGAAAAGTAGCACCTCAAGGATATCCGTTTTCTATACATGGTTGTGTTGTTGGGTTAGGGGGGTGGCTTGGGTACGTAGGTTTTAATACCTCTTATTTTGAATGCTATGGCAGCTGAAGAACACGGACCGCATTAACAGCGTTCCGAATTAAGCTTTATAACACAAACCTCAATGATAATTTTCATCTAGTTGCAAATATATTATTTATGGCCATATGAAATCCGTATTAGCACATTCACGCGTATATAACAAATTAGTAAAGTGTTATTGAACAAAATCGAAGAATCTTGAGAGGTAAGAAAAATTTGTTGGTTAGAAATGTTCAAATTGTTTATTTACAAAATTCAAAAACCGTAATTTCGATGAAAAGTGGAATCCACTACCGGGTATTTGACCCTCTGGCGGACCGAGTCTTCAGTAGCCGTAGGAGGGCTTGGGGCAGACCGTCTTGTAGGTCTGCTGGGTCTTGGTGACCGTGTGGTACTCTGGGACCACTTGGGTCTGGTACTGGGTCTTGTACTGCACCTCGGTCTTGGTGACGTACTGGGGGACGTATTCGGTCTTGTACACGGTCTGGTACTGGGTCTGTGTAACGTACTGGGTTTGGTATTGGGTCTGAGTGATGTACTGGGGGACATACTCGGTCTTGGTGACGTATTGGGTCTGGTACTGGGTCTGGTATTTGGTTACGTACTGGGTCTGGTACTGGACTTGGGTCTTGTAGACGGTCTCGGTGACGTACTGGGGAACGTACTGGGTCTCGTACTTGGTCACGTACTGGGTCTGGTACTGGGTCTGGTAGTGTGTGGTGGGGACGACCTGGGTCTTGTACACAGTCGTATACACAGGAACCTGCAGGGAGACCAAACAAATACATTATTTACAACCTGCGAGGAGACCAAACAAATACATTATTTACAACCTGCAGGAAGACCAAACAAACAAATTATTCACAATGTTCTACAACAAATAAACATGTTAGAATATTTGTAACAATGAATTAGTTCTTGCAAATACACGTTTGACAGCTGCGCTTAAGATGATCCTCTTTAAAGTTGAGACGGTACTCTACCTACTGCTAAGGTGCTCTTCTAGAATTTCCAAAGAGTCTAAGTTCTTCTAACTAGATTTGTATACAACTGCTTGGTCATTGAAGGATTACTTCCCGTTTGACCTGCCCCAGTACTGGCCTTGTTGGACCTGCCCCAGTACTGACCTACTGGACCTACTCCCAGTACTGGCCTGCTGGACCTACTCCCAGTACTGACCTGCTCGACCTACCCCAGTACTGACCTGTTGGACCTACCCCGGTACTGACCTGCTGGACCTGCCCCAGTACTGGCCTGTTGGACCTGCACCAGTACTGACCTGCTGGACCTGCCCCAGTACTGACCTGCTCGACCTACCCCAGTACTGACCTGCTCGACCTACCCCAGTACTGACCTGCTCGACCTACCCCAGTACTGACCTGTTGGACCTGCCCCAGTACTGACCTATTGGACCTGCCCCAGTACTGGCCTTGTTGGACCTGCCCCAGTACTGACCTACTGGACCTGCCCCAGTACTGACCTGCTGGACCTGCCCCAGTACTGACCTGCTCGACCTACCCCAGTACTGACCTGCTCGACCTACCCCAGTACTGACCTGTTGGACCTGCCCCAGTACTGACCTGCTGGACCTGCCCCAGTACTGACCTGTTGGACCTGCGTCTGGTACTGGGTGACGTACTGGGTCTTGGGGTAACAGGGGGCGGGTTGGGGGTAGCTGGGGTCAGCCCCCACCGCTGCCACCACACCCAACACCACCACCACAAACAAACTTGGTGACACCATCTTCAAACCCAGAAGAAAAAAGAAGTTTTAAAATTACAACTCTGAAACTAAATATATATATTCGTAATAAAGTCATGTTTCATTATTGAATGAGCTTCTATATCGCTAGTTTTTAAGAACTGTAAGATAGAGATTAAAAGAGATGATACGTTAATGAGATAAGCAGAGAAGGTTAGCTCACCTTCGGAGATGTTTCCTCTGTACTGGTCAGAAGCAGACTGATGATTGACGATGCTCGGCGGCCTTATATATGTGGCGGCGGCCTTCCTCCTGTTGACAGATAGTTCATTTTTTCCTGTCGATTTTGAAGGTTGTACGTGAACTGGGTGTGGCTCTGATGGCCAGCCAGAGTGACATCTGGCACTCCTGATCCCTGAGTGACTCCTGGCACTTCTGGTCCCCGAGTGACATCTGGCACTCCTGGTCCCAGAGTGACTCCTGGCACTTCTGGTCCCCGAGTGACATCTGGCACTTCTGGTCCCCGAGTGACATCTGGCACTCCTGGTCCCCGAGTGACATCTGGCACTCCTGGTCCCAGAGTGATTCCTGGCACTCCTGGTCCCAGAGTGACATCTGGCACTCCTGGTCCCAGAGTGACATCTGGCACTCCTGATCCCAGAGTGATTCCTGGCACTTTTTATCCCAGAGTGATTCCTGGCACTCCTGGTCCCCGAGTGATTCCTGGCACTTTTTTTTATCCCAAAAGGATTCTCTGAATACTTTTGAAGACCACGGAGTAGATTTGATGAAGACTTTACACACGAAACTTAATCTTGCTTGATCACCAGTATCACCAAGGGTGATACTGGTGTGTGTGTACTGGTGATTAATATCACCAGTACACACACAACACAGCAGTTGTAACATCAGGATCTGCGGGTTGGTACAACAATTCAACCAACTACGAACCACTTAGTTTGAGGAAAGGGAGCAGTAGACCAACAGAAAGTACTCCTACATCGCAACAGGCTTGGATACCCCATGTGCAATCTACTTTCCTCAAGGTGTCTACCGTCGTCTACCTTTAAGTTCTACAAAACCAGATATTCACCTTGTAAGACGTGTGTGAAGGTGTGGTAGATCGTTGGAGTAGTCAAGCGAGGCAAGTCTATAGACATAAGTGCAACTCTGGACCCATTTAAGTGGCTTTCACACTGGTGCCCCATTTAAGTGAATTTCAAAAGTGTGTTCAAATAAGAACATAAGAATCAAGGTAACTGCAGCCTCTGGCTGGCCCACTGGGCGGGCCCTAAGCCTCTGGCTGGCCCACTGAGCGGGCCCTAAGCCTCTGGCTGGCCCATTAAGTGTTGCTTGTTTCTGTTTTACTTGGGCGGAGTATGAGTATTTATGACTCGTATGGTCGCTTCAGTAAAATTTTGTCCCATGTGTTTAACAACTTCTTCTGCTCTGTTGAATCTAAGTTGAAATCTTAATGGGTTTGTAACTGTGCACTGTGTTAGATAATGTTCCAGTGGTCTGTTGTGGTTGTAACTGTGCAGGACAGGACCTGCACAGTTACAACCCACACAGTGCACAGTTACAGCCACAACAGACCACTGGAACATTATCTAACAGTGCACAGTTACAGCCACAACAGACCACTGGAACATTATCTAACAGTGCACAGTTACAGCCACAACAGGCCACTGGAACATTATCTAACAGTGCACAGTTACAGCCACAACAGACCACTGGAACATTATCTAACAGTGCACAGTTACAGCCACAACAGACCACTGGAACATTATCTAACACAGTGCACAGTTACAACCACAACAGACCACTGGAACATTATCTAACAGTGCACAGTTACAGCCACAACAGACCACTGGAACATTATCTAACACAGTACACAGTTACAAACCCATTAAGATTTCAACTTAGATCCAACAGAGCAGAAGTTGTTAAACACATATGGCAAAATCTTCCTGAAGCGACCATACGAGTCATCAATACTTTTTACTGAAGCGACCATACGAGTCATAAATACTTCTTACTGAAGCGACCATACGAGTCGTAAATACTTCTTACTGAAGCGACCATACGAGTCGTAAATACTTCTTACTGAAGCGACCATACGAGTCATATATACTTCTTACTGAAGCGACCATACGAGTCATCAATACTTCTTACTGAAGCGACCATACGAGTCATCAATACTTCTTACTGAAGCGACCATACGAGTCATATATACTTCTTACTGAAGCGACCATACGAGTCATCAATACTTCTTACTGAAGCGACCATACGAGTCGTAAATACTTCTTACTGAAGCGACCATACGAGTCATCAATACTTCTTACTGAAGCGACCATACGAGTCGTAAATACTTCTTACTGAAGCGACCATACGAGTCATTAATACTTCTTACTGAAGCGACCATACGAGTCATCAATACTTCTTACTGAAGCGACCATACGAGTCATCAATACTCATACTCCGCCCAAGTAAAACAGAAACAAGCAAGTCTTAGTGGACCAGCCAGAGGCTTAGGGCCCGCCCAGTGGACCAGCCAGAGGCTTAGGGCCCGCCCAGTGGACCAGCCAGAGGCTTAGGGCCCGCCCAGTGGACCAGCCAGAGGCTTAGGGCCCGCCCAGTGGGCCAGCCAGAGGCTTAGGGCCCGCCCAGTGGGCCAGCCAGAGGCTTAGGGCCCGCCCAGTGGGCCAGCCAGAGGCTTAGGGCCCGCCCAGTGGGCCAGCCAGAGGCTTAGGGCCCGCCCAGTGGGCCAGCCAGAGGCTTAGGGCCCGCCCAGTGGGCCAGCCAGAGGCTTAGGGCCCGCCCAGTGGGCCAGCCAGAGGCTTAGGACCCGCCCAGTGGGCCAGCCAGAGGCTTAGGGCCCGCCCAGTGGACCAGCCAGAGGCTTAGGGCCCGCCCAGTGGGCCAGCCAGAGGCTTAGGGCCCGCCCAGTGGACCAGCCAGAGGCTTAGGGCCCGCCCAGTGGGCCAGCCAGAGGCTTAGGGCCCGCCCAGTGGGCCAGCCAGAGGCTTAGGACCCGCCCAGTGGGCCAGCCAGAGGCTTAGGGCCCGCCCAGTGGACCAGCCAGAGGCTTAGGGCCCGCCCAGTGGGCCAGCCAGAGGCTTAGGGCCCGCCCAGTGGACCAGCCAGAGGCTTAGGGCCCGCCCAGTGGGCCAGCCAGAGGCTTAGGGCCCGCCCAGTGGACCAGCCAGAGGCTTAGGGCCCGCCCAGTGGGCCAGCCAGAGGCTTAGGGCCCGCCCAGTGGACCAGCCAGAGGCTTAGGGCCCGCCCAGTGGACCAGCCAGAGGCTTAGGGCCCGCCCAGTGGACCAGCCAGAGGCTTAGGGCCCGCCCAGTGGGCCAGCCAGAGGCTTAGGGCCCGCCCAGTGGGCCAGCCAGAGGCTTAGGGCCCGCCCAGTGGACCAGCCAGAGGCTTAGGGCCCGCCCAGTGGACCAGCCAGAGGCTTAGGGCCCGCCCAGTGGGCCAGCCAGAGGCTTAGGGCCCGCCCAGTGGACCAGCCAGAGGCTTAGGGCCCGCCCAGTGGGCCAGCCAGAGGCTTAGGGCCCGCCCAGTGGACCAGCCAGAGGCTTAGGGCCCGCCCAGTGGACCAGCCAGAGGCTTAGGGCCCGCCCAGTGGACCAGCCAGAGGCTTAGGGCCCGCCCAGTGGGCCAGCCAGAGGCTTAGGGCCCGCCCAGTGGGCCAGCCAGAGGCTTAGGGCCCGCCCAGTGGACCAGCCAGAGGCTTAGGGCCCGCCCAGTGGACCAGCCAGAGGCTTAGGGCCCGCCCAGTGGGCCAGCCAGAGGCTTAGGGCCCGCCCAGTGGGCCAGCCAGAGGCTTAGGGCCCGCCCAGTGGGCCAGCCAGAGGCTTAGGGCCCGCTCAGTGGACCAGCCAGAGGCTTAGGGCCCGCCCAGTGGGCCAGCCAGAGGCTTAGGGCCCGCCCAGTGGACCAGCCAGAGGCTTAGGGCCCGCCCAGTGGACCAGCCAGAGGCTTAGGGCCCGCCCAGTGGGCCAGCCAGAGGCTTAGGGCCCGCCCAGTGGGCCAGCCAGAGGCTTAGGGCCCGCCCAGTGGGCCAGCCAGAGGCTTAGGGCCCGCGCAGTGGACCAGCCAGAGGCTTAGGGCCCGCCCAGTGGGCCAGCCAGAGGCTTAGGGCCCGCCCAGTGGGCCAGCCAGAGGCTTAGGGCCCGCCCAGTGGGCCAGCCACAGGCTTAGGGCCCGCCCAGTGGGCCAGCCAGAGGCTTAGGGCCCGCCCAGTGGGCCAGCCAGAGGCTTAGGGCCCGCCCAGTGGACCAGCCAGAGGCTTAGGGCCCGCCCAGTGGGCCAGCCAGAGGCTTAGGGCCCGCCCAGTGGGCCAGCCAGAGGCTTAGGGCCCGCGCAGTGGACCAGCCAGAGGCTTAGGGCCCGCCCAGTGGGCCAGCCAGAGGCTTAGGGCCAGCGCAGGAATATCCCTGCGAAAAAAAAAAACACTTCCTGGATGACCAACCTAAATAGGTTTATCTAAAGTGGCGTTGAAGGTCACCTTGAGTGAGGAAATTCTCTCTCTCTCTCTCTCTCTCTCTCTCTCTCTCTCTCTCTCTCTCTCTCTCTCTCTCTCTCTCTCTCTCTCTCTCTCTATCACTCATTATCTCATTTTCTCTCATGATTCAGTCTCTCTCTCTATCACTCATTCTCTCTCTCTCTATCACTCATTCTCTCTCTCTCTCTCTATCACTCATTCTCTCTCTCTCTCTCTATCACTCATTCTCTCTCTCTCTCTCTATCACTCATTCTCTCTCTCTCTCTATCACTCATTCTCTCTCTCTCTATCACTCATTCTCTCTCTCTCTCTCTATCACTCATTATCTCATTTTCTCTCTCAATCACTCATTATCTCATTTTCTCTCATGTTTCAGTCTCTTCTCTCTCTCTCTCTCTCTCTCTCTCTCTCTCTCTCTCTCTCTCTCTCTCTCTCTCTCTCTCTCTCTCTCTCTCTCTCTCTCTCTCTCTTTCTATCACTCATTATCTCATTTTCTCTCATGATTCAGTCTCTCTCTCTATCACTCATTCTCTCTCTCTCTATCACTCATTCTCTCTCTCTCTCTCTCTATCACTCATTCTCTCTCTCTCTCTCTATCACTCATTCTCTCTCTCTCTCTATCACTCATTCTCTCTCTCTCTATCACTCATTCTCTCTCTCCCTCTCTATCACTCATTATCTCATTTTCTCTCTCAATCACTCATTATCTCATTTTCTCTCATGTTTCAGTCTCTTTCTCTCTC